CAGTGTGGGACCTGGCAGCGTTTGGGGGTGATCGTACTCGGGTTTCTAGGCATCAGGACTGACTTGGCAGCAGCAGCAATGCCAGCTGATTAATTAATAACTTCGTTTTTCAGGAGTATCTTTATAAAACAAATAAATAAAAAGTCACATTTCCTGTTAATTTGTAAATTTTACCAAATACAAAGTTAATGCTGTGAATACAGTTTTGATAATAAAAAATACCAAACCCAACCCACTGCCATCGAGTTGATTTTAATTCATAGTGACCCCCATTGGGTTTGCAAGGTGGTAAATCTTTACAGAAGTAGATTGTCCATCTTGCTTCCACAGAGTGGCTGATAGGTCTGAACTGCCAACCCTCCGATAAGCAGTCCAGTGCCTCAGGTGCTGCACTGCCAGAGCTCCTTTTGTTTTGATATGGAGTACAGTTTTCATCATTTTAATTTTCATGCAGAAATGACAGAAATGCATTTCAATGCAGAAATGTGCAGGCAAGTGGTTTTGTGGTAGTACAGCCGTCCATGTGCATGCGGGTGGCTTTGTGGTGTTTTCCTTTACTGAGTATAGTGTGTCTTACTGTGCATTTTTCAGGATCATGTTTCTTTCTTCTTTTTGCTCAGGGTGCCGGTCAAGATAAACTTGGAATCTATGTCAAGTCTGTTGTCAAAGGAGGTGCTGCAGATGTGGTTAGTATGATTTTAAAATGCAACTTTGCAGCCTGTTGTACATTGAACCAGTGGGGGGATAATCCACTGGTATGTTCAGTTATGAAACACCAGCTACATTTGCTAAAAGAAAAATATTCTGGGAAAGCAGAAATATCTGTACTAATTCTCTCTCCTTGCCCCTTCCCCTCCTGTCTGCTGTACCCATATCCTAACACACACACACACACACACACACTCTCACTCTCACTCACTGTTGCGCACTCACTCTCACACACTTGCACACACATACTCGCACACGCACGCCTACACACGTGCCTCTCCTGGGTGTGCGCAGGACGGACGGCTGGCTGCAGGCGACCAGCTCCTCAGCGTGGACGGACGGAGCCTGGTAGGCCTGTCTCAGGAAAGGTATGGTGTACGGGCTTGTTGGCAGGTTAGAGATAGATGAGTGCTGATGGCTGCTACTGAGCATCCCATTTTGGAACCGGAACGTGGAGGATGATGGGAAAGGCCAGGTGCTCACTTGGCAGCTTTTAGAGCACAAAGCCCTTAGAGTCCATGGCATTTTCTTGATTAGGGAGTTACAAGTATGTGCTTTGGTCTGGAGATGTTGCTTTGGAACTAAGACAACAGAAATCCTCTTAGTCCTTGATGCAGTACTGAATATTAGGTTATTAATATTAACAAGATGTGTCTGCATGTGTTCCTGGTTAATTTCCAGAGGGCCAGGTGAGCAGCTGGCACTGTGTCTGAAGGGAGAGCACCACTTAGAATAGCAGGCGGAGCTGTCATGCACGGCCATGGTAGCAGTCACGGGGGGACAGGGGTTGCTGTGTTTCTTGTGTCCAAGTTCGTGACGTTCTCTTCCTAGGGCAGCAGAACTCATGACAAGAACCAGTTCAGTGGTGACACTGGAAGTAGCGAAGCAGGGAGCCATTTACCACGGCCTCGCCACACTGCTCAACCAGCCCTCGCCCATGATGCAGAGGGGTAAGTGTCCCTATCGGGTGACCGCCTGCTGCTGGGAGTGCCTGGCCAGAGCGCACCCCTGCTGTAAGCCAGGTATCTTACACTCACGGACACCCGTGGTAGGTGTGGTCGGGATTATTTTTACTCCAGTTTTAAAGAAAAGGAATTGGAGGGTAAGAGCAGTTTAGCAAGGTGCCCAAGATACTAGCTCTCGGTTGCTAGACCCAGGATTCAGAGAGGGTCCATCTGACCTGGGCACCCTTCCCTCAGAACCGCATGGCCAACCTGTGTGTGAGCAGTTTGGTGCTGGCAGGCTTCCACATGCCTGGCCAACAGTGGATGTTCAGGGACCATACGTGTGGGTGTGCGGGCGTGTGTGACTGGATCTCTGGCTGTGACAGGCTAACAAGTGGAAGGCCTTTGAAGGAAGAATAGAATTCTTAACTGAGTAATGGTGCATGCATACGTGAGGGTGTAGTTAGGTAGTCTTGCATTCACCGTGATGGACATGAGCAGCCAGTTACGTCTAACTCACTTTAAACTGAAAACTCAGTGACTTGAATATCAAGTTATTTGCTGTGGAACCACAGTTTTGAAATGACACCAAAAATATCAGAATAAAATCAGTATGAAGGTAGAGCTTTGTGAACACTTTGTAACAGGCCCCTGGAGAAAACCCAACAACTGCCATTCTCTCTGAAATCGGTAAATGCCGCCTGCATCAGCCTTAATGACATACGTCGCTATATGCATACGTGGCCCTCATCCCTGTGAGTGAGAGTTCTGGGTGCTCACAGCCCGAGCCCAGGTCAGCCCCTGCTGGTAACTGACAGCATGGCAGAGCTCCTAAGCCTCACACCCGTCCATTTGCAGCCCTTCCAGAGCTGTGTGCTCTGGGACACTTGGATGCAGCACCCACTGTACTGGTGCATACCACAGCTGACTCTCTTAGTTGTCTGATTTCTTAAAGCCATTTAACAGAAGAGTTGGAAGTCAAAGAGGGAGGCTGTCAAAAGCAGAACCTACATGGGGTCATCAGGCTGGAAGACCGGACACAAAGTGATGGACAGAGGGCTGGACAGCGTATCTCACGTGGGGACAATAACACATGGGGGACCATGATGTGACCCCAAGAGAGTGAAAAGTTCACCACTTGCTGAATATGTGCGGCAAGTGTGTTATCTACCTTTCAGTTAAAAAAAAAAAAAAAAAATTCAGAAGTAATTTTGTTGATTTGAAGAGATATGTTTCAGTTTATGAGGAAATAAGCTTTAAAACATACTTTTAAAAAATGCACTTGAAAGCTTTGTAAAGATTCTGTGGAACAATTTTTTTCATTATATGAAAATGAGCTATTTCTTATGTTAAGAACAAGTTCTTTTTTTTGTTATTTTTTTTTTTATTGTGATTTGGGTGAAAATTAACAGAGCAAATTCACTTTCCATACAGCAGTTCACATACACTAGTTCACATACACTTTGTCTCATGACATTGACCACAGTTTACCATAATGCAACAGCTCCCCTCATATGTCCTTCCCATAGTTACCTCTTCCCTGTGTCCATCTCTCCTTGCACTTCTGCCCCTTGAGCTGTCTCCCTGTGCATAAGCAGCCCTTCTTTCTCCCATGATTGTTCTCTCCAAGGAGTGTATCTACCTCAGGTAAAATGTTCAGCTCATATGCCTGTCTTTTGTTTAGCTGGAAACCACAGGCATGGGTTCAATTCCAGACCTAAGGGACAGCTAGGGGCCATAGTCTCAGTGGTTCCACCAGGCTCTATCGGACCAGCAAACTTGCCCCCCCCCCTTTTTTTTTCCCCAAATGATTTTGAGTTTTGTTCCACATTAAGAACAAGTTCTTAATGGAATTGTGTTTTGTATTTTAACTTTTTACTGTGATATGGGTGGAAGTTTACAGAGCAAATTTGTTTTCCATTCAGTAGTTCATGCACATTGTGTTTGATGTCTTTGATTACAGTCCCCACAGTGGAACAGCTCTCTTCCCCTTCCTCCCCTTGCCGTGTCCGTCTGTCCTTCCCGACTTGTAACCTTCCTCCCTGCATAAACGCCGCCCTCCTGACCTCCCATGGCTGATGGTTCTAGGGACTGCACCTCCCTGGTGTCATTGCTCGCCTCATAGGCCTGTCTGTCGTTTGGCTGAAGGTTAAACCATGGGAGTGAGTTCAGTTCCAAACCAGAAGGATGACTGTGGTCCATAGTCTCGGAGGTTCCACCAGACTCTTTATCAGACCAGTGAGCCTCGTCTTTTCTGTGATTTTGAGTTTTGTTCCACGTTTCTTCTTGCTCTATGCAGGATCTCCAGTTTTGATCCCTGTCTGAATGGTTGACAGTGGTAGCTGGACACCATCTAGTTCTTCTGGTCTCGGGCATGTAGGCTGACGTTCTCATGGTCCACTAGTCCCTTGGACTAATTGTTTCTACACCTCTTTGATTTTCTTCATTCTTCTTTGCTCTGGATGAAGAGAGACCAATAGTTGCATCTTAGATAGCCCCTCACAAGCTTTTAAGACCCTGGTTACTACTCACTAAAAAGTGGGACGTAGGACGTAGAACAGTATTTTGTGTAGTGTGTTATGCCAGTTGAGCTTGATGTCCCCTGCGACCACGGTCCTGAGCCTGTGGACCCCAGACACTCTTTCCAGGTATTTGATTGTGGTTAAGAAATTACCCTTTCTTTGCCCTGTTTGTTGGCTTTGTTATATAGATGGACATTTTCATAGCACACACAAGTACGTGTGTATAGATACCATCTGCCAGACCTGTCTGTGGCCCTGGGTATACTCCCGGTTGCCTGCCCATCCCTGACCTTCTTGCCGGCCTCTGTATCCACCTGTAGACAGCTGTTTGTTCTGAACTGAACTCAGCCTTGTAGATTCATCTCTCTCTGAAAGCTGAAGAGGGTTTCCTGTAAAACAGACTGAGAGATGAAAGCCTCTTGACTGTACTTTGATTCTAGTTTCAGATCGCCGCGGCTCAGGTAAGCCCAGACCAAAGAGTGAAGGTTTTGAGCTCTATCATAACTCGGCTCAGAACGGGTCCCCTGAGAGCCCCCCGCTGCCTTGGGCAGAGTACAGCGAGCCAAAGAGACTGCCTGGTGATGATAGGCTGACCAAGAATCGGGCCGACCACCGCTCCAGTCCCAACGTGGCAAGTAAGAAAGAGGACCCGTTCCCTCTTGTCTTCGTCCTTCCCGGGCTGTCCCACCCCCTGCATGGGCACCAGTCAGAGGAGGGCTAGGCACTGGGAGGCATGGCGGCCATCTTGTCTGGAGTAGGGGGTGGCAGGTGACCAGCAGGAGACGTGCCTTTTAAGATCTTATGTAATGGGTGTTGGGGGACACAAGGATGGAGTGGTAGAAGAACGGGCCACGGAGACTCATGCCTTAGACAGCTGCACATTTGCCGGCCCTCCTCTGCTGGAGCCTGGTGCCCGGGCAGCTGTCTCTCTGGCTGCAGCAGCCCAAGACGTGGGTGTCGGGTGGGAAGCTCGCTGGCCAGGCTTCTTGCTGTGTCCCACTGCTTTGCTTGGTTGACAGTAAGCTTTCTCTTCCTGTTTCCTGCAGACCAGCCTCCTAGTCCTGGAGGGAAGCACACATATGCTGCTGGGGCAACAGCTAAGATCACGTCTGTGTCTACAGGAAACCTCTGCACTGAGGTCTGAAGAGATGGGCTGCGTGTCTCCCCCACTCTCCCCATGCAGGCTTCCTCCAGAGTGACTAAGCCCCTAAAACATCTTCCCTCAATAGAGCAGCTGGAATGGAGCCCCCAGATAGGCTGTATTGAATCTTTTGATTTTTGGTTCCATGGTTAAGCTCTCAGCTGTTAACCGAAAGGTCGTAGTTAGAACTCACCAGCAGCTCAGTGAGAGAAGGATGAGACAGTCTGCTTCTGTGAAAATTGACAGCCTTGGAGACCCTGTGGGCAGTTCCACCCTGTCCTCTAGGGGCATTATGGGTCGGAATCAACTCCAGGGCAGTGGGTGTGGTTTGGGCTTTCCTTCTGTGAAGATTGACAGCCTTGGAGACCCTGTGGGCAGGTCCACTCTGTCCTCTAGGGGCGCTGTGGGTCAGAATGGACTCCATGGCAGTGGGTGTGGTTTGGGCTTTGCTTCTGTGAAGACTG